TGAGAGAAACGATGATCTGAGCGACGACAAGGAACAAAAAGCTGCGGCGATACCTCACATTCAGTCTGTGGGTAATATGAGCGGTCGGGGACGTTTCCTACGAAGTGAACGCGGTGAAAACGCAAGATAGTGTTTCCTGGGTGTGGAGGGTCGGGCACATTGCTCACGTCGCGTCTTGTAAATTGGCCCGCGGCTCGATATCCCTGGGCAATCGCGGCCGCCAGATTGGCTTATGAACAGCATAGGAGGCTGTTTCAGGCGAAGGTTGGGTATTTGGGTCCGCTTTGGAAAGCGCAGCCTGCCGGCTCCCTGATCTAAATCAGGGTTTTTGTCAGGTAAGTCATATAGTGGCAACAAAGGTGAAGAGTTGGGGATGTGGAAAATCACACGCCGGCTTCCTTTCACCGCCACGATGGCAGTGATTGTTCGCATCTCACACGAAACGCGCCTGCGTTTCTGATGATCCGGGGCTGTCTGTACATGAGCTGGTTTGGAAGGACAGAGGCCCTGCTGACCCAACGCGCCTAAGAAATCTCTTGGCCCATGACGACTAGATGGGTAAAGAGGACTAGATGAGTAAAGAGGACTAGATGAGTAAAGAGGACTAGATGAGTAAAGAGGACTAGATGAGTAAAGAGGACTAGATGGGTCAAGATGCCAAGGCCTACATGGCTAAGATGAGGAAAGTGGTAGGCAAGTCAGACGAAGACGTGTCGTGCGCCGAGTACGAGCAGAGCTAGAAAGAAAGGCGTGGTACCATGCCTAATGCAAGCTCAAACGCGCGCATGAACGGCAACTTGCAGACAAACATATCCGATCCGTCACACGACAAATCACCGAGCGACAGGATCGCGTGTAAGATGGTCTCGAATGCCCCTCAACTGCCCGAGGCGTCGCAGAAGGTAAGAAGCAGCAGTCAATTGATATCTCACCCGAGAGCCTCCCTCTCAATCCTCTAGCAGGAATGTGAAGACGGAGAAGCCACCCGTGCCAGAATTCTAGATGCCAGTGCAACTGAAAACATGGCGAGACAGTGCCCGTCCCTCTATGACGCTTTGCCATTCCTGCTGAGTCTGTGAGTCCGGCGGAAAGATCCTCATTTTTCAAGGAAGAACGCAGTCACTTAGTGCGCGACACACAGAAATCATCATCGAGGTGGATACCGACGGCGGCCTTGAGTAGGGACCAGTTTTGGGATCTTGCTAAGGGACCTCTGCGTCTAAAATGAGGCACTCGCTCGACTTAAGTCACTGAGCAACTTGGACACAACACACCCCACGAGAAGCTGAGCGAGAGGTAGGATACGAATGAGACCACAAAACACAAGAAGCGGCCATACTGTATCAATACTCAATACTCAATAGTGCCTTTTTAGCCAAAAGCTACTTGACGCAGAAAATCTTTTTATGTAGAGGGAAGAGAGTGCCATGGTGACGTCACGTTGACGTATCAATTAGGGAGCTAATACAACTAGTAGGGTGATAGTGATAGATGGCTCTAGTGTGTTACCACGCTTCGCTATAAAGCTAGCGAATCCTCATCGTTCGCAGGTGGTCTTGCATTTCTTTCGTGATTCGGAATGCCACAGGCATGGCTGGTCCATCAACAAATTGGCCGATTGGCCCGCACAAAACCCTCAATAGGGAACGGCAGCCTCCACCAGATGTTGAGAAGGTCTTGCGGCAGTATCTCACGTCTGAGGAGGAAGCACAGGTTCGTCGGCAATTTCAACAGGCTTGCCCCCGGCGTCGACAGGTCTTGTGGAGTGGGATGGACCAAAGCCAGGCACAAAGGTGGGCCGACGATCATCACATGCAGACGTTGACGACGGCAATGGGCCCATTGATGAACCCCAAGCATCCACAATGCCTTCAGCACCGTAAAACAAAAAAAGCATGGTCAAAGTATGTCCACGGAGCATCGGCCGCCTTCGCTTGGTATATTTCTGGTTGCGATGTGGTCACGGTGCTGTTGCATCCACCGCCGGTCAGATTCAACCCTTTCGGGGCAACCTTTTATCAGACGATTGAGGAGCCTATTATCACAGGGAAGACTGGGGGTTGCAATGTGCGGCGGATTGAAGTAGTCCATCCGGCCGTACCCGAAGCTGCTGACTTCGCCTACCAAATGTGGCCAGTGGATGAGGCCGAGGTATGGAAGGAAAGGTTTGGGAGGCTGAGTGTGGCTAACACTCGCTGGAGGCAGATCAAGGCCTCACAGGTTGAGTCTTCCCGGGTGATCTTCCGCACTATACCGCTAATGGAAGGTACAGGTGAGCCATAACAACACTGTTCCTGGGGGTGCCTTACCGGGATGCAAAACACCTTTAGCGACAAAGAACTGTGGTGATAGCAAACCATTGAAAGATACGTCACGAGTGCTCGACGACACGAAGGGTAAGAAAGAGAGGAAGAAGAAGTGTATAAAAGTGAAAGAACAGGAGGGAAATGAGAGAACGGGAAGGAAGAAGGCGCGGACCAAGACGTGTGCTGTTGAAACCAACTTAAGAAAACTACCGAGACCAGGTAAGACTGGTACATTCAAGAGCCCGTCAATGAAGGTTGAAGATCAAGCAAAGGTAAAGCTGTCAGAAGGAGGCTCTCCGAGACTTAAGAAAAGAACGAAGGGGAACTTAGTACCACAAAGCCAAATATAGCGTCTGTCACGAACTCGGAAAAAGTGAATCAGACATTGCAGGAATTTGAGTGCGAATAGGCAGGAAGGGGTTAAGACAGTCAGACCTGATACAATTTGCTCGCGAGTAAGCAAATATCTATGTACAACCCTGAAGTACGATAGAGCCGGCAATTCCTTTCTTGCCGTCTCGTTCCAGAGAAGGCGACGGTCTGCCGATGTAGTTCATCCACGTAATCCACTCAGCGAAATTTCAACGGCACTCCTCGACAGCGGTGGCAGAGTGTACCAAAGCCTTTGCGGTGTAATCCTTCACCGCTATCTTACATAGATCGTATCAGACAACTCCACCACAGCTACAGATTTGGCGAAGCAGCGTGGTCTCCTCCCGCATCGCTCGACCGTCGCAGAAGAGCCGCAGCCCTAGATCCAATTGTTCCGACGTCACATGGCCGCACTTCAGCACCAATCCAGACACTGTAGAGGAGCTCAGAGGCGTGGATTGTTGACTTCATGAGGGAGGCTTCAAGTTACATGGGGCTTCTGGCACTTCAATCAAACTCAAATTTCGAGAGGGTATAGTCCCGTCGCCGGTGAACGAATCGAGATGCGAGATGAGAGAGCCATTGGTTACGGAGTGGGGAACGATGAAGGGCATTCTTTTTGGGATGTGGCCAAGCAATATTGGAGCTGTCAGAAGCCTGGAGTTGTCAGAAGCCGCCGTTGTATGGCAAGTAAAAACTGTACATTGACCAGTCGAAATGGGTGAAGGATATTTCAGACCTATAGAGAAACAAGCCAGTCCTATCTACCCGACGCATGGCTAGGGGGTTGCTTGGAAACAGATTCGCTTCGTTTCGCGGCGTTCCTTCCAGCTTTTCCATAATGAACCTCCCTTCCAACCACCGGACTCACAACTTCGCCGGACAGGTAGGGCAGTTGTGAGAGGATTGAGAGAACGCCAGCCACCGCTCTACCAGATGATGGCGATAGCAAAGTGTCTATTTCATCGGGCAATATAGTCAAGCCCTCGCCAGATAACCCTCAAAGGCAAGCTTGATACCCAACTTGTCCAGTGCTGGTTACTTTGAATACAGCTACAGTGCTATCTAGCGGTGACGTAAGATCTCCTCTGTTCTTAACCACCGGTCTCGATCAAACGTGTCTCGATGACGGTTTTTTTTTCTCATCTCAATCGCGTGATCCAATGGTGTTAGCCCGAGACTGTCGCGGGAGCCTCTTGATAGACCCATGTCATTGTAAAGAAATTCCAAGGCGTCCTCGGTAAGAGAACCTGCCATCGCTGCGCGGTGCAAAACCGTGCGGCCTGCGGCATCTTTCATGTGGAGATCCACGCCAGAGCTCGCCAAAACGGAGAGGAGTTCTCCATCAAGTCGATAGGATTTGGCAGATAGATGGCCCAGTGTAAAACCTGCCTTAGGACTGGTGAACGAAGCGTCAGCGCCTCGTTCAAAGAGAAGTCGCACTACTTGCGCCTTTTCTAATGGGAAGGAGGATTTGGCTAGGTATACCGCTAGCGGCGAGTAACCACGGTCATCAAGGTCGTTGATGCCGACGCTGCTCGACAAGAGAGACCGAACGGCGTCTATGCTAACGCCATCGTGCCTACCAAGTAGGTGATGTAGTGCATTTCGATCATGCTTATCTCTCGCAGTCGCAAGTATCATGGAATTTCCGTCCGTGACAAAGTCAAGCAGAACTTGGATGGTTTCCCCGTCTCCACTCCGTGCTGCGCAGTGGAGCGTGTTGAGTCCGCCTTCGTCCAGGTCCATTACACTTGCGCCATGTCTAATTAGAGCCGTAATAGACTTCACATCTCTCGCCAAACAGGCCAGATTGTCAGGACCTGAGGGAGGTATGAGACCAACAGGGGATCGCCTGTTGTTTGATCGTAGGAATCAAGAAGAGAGGACCGAGCGCAGGGAGGGAATAGTTATAAGAAAGGCCAACGGACTAAGATTTAGAGAAGGGTATCGATTATTCTATCTTCCTAGAGACCCCCAAGAGACCAACAGTTGACCCCTTCACTCGCTGCACAAGACTCCTTGACACAGATGCAGTGGCGTCCGACCCTTCGAATCACGTTCGGATTTTTTGATATTTTTCTCAAGCAGCCTCTCGAGGATAGATTGAGACCGCCAATTCCCATAAGGAATGCAGTGCAGGAGAGACGCGCCATGTGTATCTCTGGTATTTACGTCGATTTCCGGGTGGTTGAGGAGAGCATCGATAATGTCGACCCTATGCTTGTTGATCATACCCATTATCTTGGAGTATTCTTCCTCGTCATCAGTGCCATGATCTATCAAATCAAGCAAAACTTCGATTCTAAAGTCTGGACTATTCTAACGGTCTCGTTTGCCAAAGGGCCGCTTCCAATCGTAGATGTCTTGCCTAACTGCGAGATGCAGAGGCGTTTCGCCGCACTCGGAGACCGCATTTGGGTTGGCACCGTGGTCGAGGAAATATCTTGTCATCTGAGCACTCCCTGTCAAGGCCGCATAGTGCAAAGCTGTGAGCCCTTGCGGAGCGTTGAACCCACCCTGGGAGCAATGTAGATTGCTATTTGGTGCATAGGTGAGCTTGCCATCTTGGCATGTCGCCAGCCAGATCCTCCTTTTCACTAGACTGTCGACTGATACTCCAGCATCGAGGAAGACCTGCGCAATTTCTTCGTTTGCTTTTGCGACAGTGTAGTGAATGGGGGTCATGTTGTTGATGTCCGTGGTCATATTTGACAGTTTGGTCGCTTCATAGCTTAGGAGGAGCTGAACACATCTTGTCCAGCCGTGAATAACAGCATGATGCAATGGGGTCTTCCAATCGGCGTCGCGGATATTCGTGTCGACGCGTCGTTCTAACAGCCATTCTGCGATGAGCTCTTGCTGGTTCTTCACCGCCCAGAGCAGACAACTACTTGGAACCTTTGACCCAGATGACAAAAAAGTAGAAATAAGCGGATGTACGTCAGGTGAGGCGGAGCGAGCGTGGAGGACCCAATTTTGTGCGGCGTATTCGAAGAACGGATCCAACAGCTGCTGGTCTCGTATGTCTTGCCCTGTCAGACAGAATCCGTTCCTAAAGTTGTCAAATGAAAGATAGGTAAGGCAGACTTTAGCGATGTCGGTCTCCACATTTGGAAAAATCCGCTGGAAGTACTCTTGCGCTGTGCGATGAACTAATCGGATGATGCTGCTCTCTTCGTCGGTTTCAACCAATCCAACACAAACGGAGACCACGTCCTCGACCGATGGGATACCCTCTTCTTCAAGTTCAGAGTCACCCTCTTGTATAGCCAGTGCATGTTGGATTTCCGACGTTGTGAGTTGTCTTTTTGCACACGTGATCCATGAGAGAACCTTCTTCGCCAGGTCCTGCGACTCGGTATCAGATTCGGTGATCCGCATCCAAGCTTCTTTGTAAACATGATTGTACGCCTCTGGTCCCGTCAGGAGACTTTTTAATGCGTCTTTTATACTCCGAGTTGTTCTCTTTTTGCTGACGGATTCGAAATGAAGCTGCGCAAGGAGGAACCTAGCAAATTCAATCATGCGGCTTGTTAGGAGAGTACTGAAACGCTTACATTCATTCCATCAGAAACCTCCGTGATCTCATTCCTAATCTCCTCACGGCATTTTTCTAGCAATGTCCGTCCGGATTGCAGTATTCGGCCGTCTAGATACCTGCGCACATCCTCGTCATTGGCACGAATTTCCAATATTGTGCTGGCACTGAATCTGTCAGTAATTTCTGGGATACACCTGGAAGTTGCGAAAATGTTTGCTCCGCATTCGGCCTGGAGATTGAAAAGCTCGGTTAAGAATCTCGCGCGACAGCCGTCGTTTCGTTGGCATTCGTCAAGTGCATCAACGATGATGAAAGTTCTCGAGTAAGAATCTGCAACATGACGGAGGGTTCTCGAGACTTCATCAAATGACGGCCGCGTCCGCTTACGCCGGTGTTCATCGTGGAGAAACTTCACGCACTCCGGCAATGATGACCGGCCTTGCGTCAGCTGCTTTAGTAGACTCATGAGGAGTTCTTCAACCTTTTGCTCCTGTTGCCGCTGGAAGTCGCAATAAATATATGCAATGCCAACATGCTCATTGCTCGTGTATCGTGTGCAAAGGTCGTCAACCACGATCGATGTGATAATCGTCTTCCCTGCTCCGGGGATTCCCGGACAGAACAGGGTTTGCCCCGCAGTTTCGCTCCATTCCCTATATTCCAACGAGCTCAGAAGCCACTGTCCAGTGCCTTCTTGCCTCCTGGCAATGAAATCGCTCTGCTTAGGGCCATAATCAATCACAGTGAGCCAACCAATGATGGCCTTGCACTCCTTGTCTGCATGCCAACCCTGCTGTTCTCTTCTTGCCTCTCTGACTTCTTTATGGATGCTTACACCAACGACAAGGGTATCCATATCCATCAATGTGTTCAAGGTTTGACATTGTCGATGAAGGCTTTGGACCGCTTCTTTAGTCGTCTTCGCCAGGAATGCTCCTTTCATCCTTTTCCAGCCAATCCGATGACCCTGGACTCGCTTCTGCAAGTCCTCGAGGAGGATCTCTAGCTCTTTCTTGCATGCTAATACCAGCATACTGGTGTCTGTGACTGGCACAGTATCTCCAAGCTGCGAAAGGAGCGTGGAATGCCGACCGTGGAAGGCATCCTTAAAGTCATCGTTGAGAAGAATATTCATATTTGTTTCGGAAAGAACTGTTTTCAGAGCCCCGACCGCGACCAGGAGGGACCTTGTGTCAGCTGGGGCGTGTTTCCAGTCCAGCCCGAAATTGGCGACGGTCGAGATGATCTGGCCGGCCACGACGACAACACCGACAATTCCGAAAGGATCAAGCATTTCAAAAATGGGCTGAGAATGTTGCGAAGATCTTGCAAGAGTATCAAATGAATGCGCCGAAGAAGTTTTGGAGGTTCGAAGACGGACGGACAGGTAGTAGCTCGGACTAGTCTTCCCGCTGCTCCAGAGTACAGCAAGACACAGCTGCGGACCAATCAAAAGGGTAGTCTATTGGAGGCCTCTGGTACAATAAAGCCCGTGCCCTCAGGATCACTTGCCTGTTGTCCATATGGTACAGTAGCACTGCAACGAGTTATGCGTGCTTTGTAGTGATCGCTCTGCGATGTTATACCAGACATAATGCAATGTTGTAACGAAGTACTCTCCTCTACCTCATACCGTAAAATTATCGATATGATGTTATAGTTACTCAATCTCAAACCACTAAACAACGGCCAGTATGACGCAGGCGTCTACCTCATAATGCGCCGCAAGGGAAGACACTGTGAAGAGAGCTCCTACGAATCACTCTGGCCGACACCTAAACATGAGGTGGGAATGACGTACCCAGTGGCGAGAGAAACCGGCAGATCGGCATTGGAGGGGCATGCGGGGAGAAGCTGGAGGTGTATCGTCACGATCTCTTTGAGCACGGGCCATACAAGCCGAAATGTGAGCCTGGTGCCGCCTAGCGCCTCCTCACGGCCCAGATCTGGACACTTCACAGAAACGATTAAGTCAACCAGTCGAGTTGGTCTCCACCAAACCTAACCGAGAGCAAGCAGAGCGGGATCAAATCTAGACAAGGGAGTTGACAGATATGCCACAGCCTCGATCTCAGTGCAGTATGGGCCGTGTCGGTGTGCTCGCATCTGATCAATCTGAAGGCCGGGCACCAAGATATATTTCTGCGCCCAGGTGTTGTATCTGCACCAAGATCGAATGCCCAACACCCTCCTGGGGCTCACCATTTAGCTGAATCCAGTCTCTGTTGTGGTTGGTCGTATGAAATGTGCCCAAGGCAGTGCCCCACCATCCTGTTCTACAAAGTTCCGTGCCGTCCTGCCCGTCATTGGATATAAGCATGAGCTATCGGAAGCCACGCATCAAGCTACGACCAAGGCGATGTAATGACGTTAGGTAGACGTCGTCTGTTTTCCGTGTGAACCCAAGCCACTTAAGTATCCCCCTCTTCCCTCATGCGAAACCTTTGGTGTCTTTTAATACCCAGGTGCTCTTGATCATAGATTCTGCCATATTCTGCTGTGTCGCTATTCAACCATATCGACCTCAATCCCTCGACCACGAGGCGAAGTTCTCGGGCTTTCTCGCCTGGGCCAACGAACAGAAAGATGGCATTCACAGAAGAGAAGCCTGCCTGGAAGCTTCCTATTCCATCCAGCTGGTCCGCCAGATTAACTACGGTCCGCTAGAGTCCCTTCGTTATTTTGTCTCGCTCGGTTCCAACAGGGAATATGCGGAGATACAAGAGGAGCAGCTTCTACAAGCAAACTTTGAGAAGGTCAATTCGTACGTCACGATGTCATGCCCCCAACCGTCCGCAGCTGGAAATTCACATCAGGTTTCAAGATACAAAAATTTCAGATGTGGCATTCACAACAAGTTCTATGAGCTGAACCTCTACCAAAAGTCTCCTATCAACTCCCCCCATTGGCGAGCCACCCTCGCCAGACCCTCGAGGGACATCGACCTCCATCTAAGACTTCCAAAAGAGCACCCAGCCGTTTGTCCTTCTACGGGGGGTTTTCCACGTCCCACTTTGCCACCCCCCGCAACACTCAGACTGGGCCAGGTTGCCGCAGAGTCATCGTCGTGTGCAAGGGGGTCTTCGGGTGGAGGCGATGGAAAACCTGACTCAGGTGTATTTTCACCGACAAAAACCGACCATTCACCAATGAATCTGATTCTTGCTGCCCTTCATTCGCGTCAGCCAAAGCCTGGTGGCACAGGCAAAGTCATCGGAGTTCTCGCATTCGACACGCTTCAAACAACAATTCTATCCTCAGACATAGATGTCCGGGTAGATTTGGGCGACTTGTGGAGAGAATGTCTTGTAGGGCCTGAAATATTAGGATTTCTCCTTGACTGCCATACCGCTGACGACCCAGTGTCTGCTAATCAAAAAAACGGGCTGCAGGATGTGGCTATGGCAGCTCTTGACGAAGTCCCTCAGAAAGGGTCCAGCATGCCAACCGGTCGAGACTGTCTGGTCGAGGTTCTTTATGTAATGCTTTCAAGGAAGAGTGATTTTGAGTCTTACAGACAACTAATCCTTCAAGGTCTGGAAATTGCGGTTGGTTCAGAGCCGGAGAGTGCGAGAGGCGATCTGGAAAGCGACGACAAAGCACATTGGTGGAGCTACGACAGCGATGAAGATCGATATGACTATGACGTCTCTGAGCATGACTCGGTCAAAGACTTCACGGCTTGTGACAAGGCGTGTGGATATTGCGGTCATTGTGATTATTAGTTTGTACAACTGGGGTTTTTGTGAACCTGCAGTTGAACATTTGGAGCAAATATCCGCCTTACTGTCTCAGAGTTCCAGTCGTGACTCTTCATCTATTCTAAACCAGCTCGCAATGCTGTGCAAGATGTGAAGATGAAATAAAAGCCGCAGAAAGGCCTCCATGTAATTAAATCTAGAGAGGGACTGTGAGTAATGGAACTCCAGGTCAGTATCTTCCCATGCTTCTTCATAGCACAAACGCGTCATGGCATTAGACACACCTGTAGTGGCCACCCGGTTCCTGTGGGCAAGCCAAGCAGAATGGTGCACAGGTCGGCTGGAGCCGAGAGAACTGGAGTCGCATGGCCGTTGTTGGAATTTAGTAAGAGGGGCCTCCGTCTTGAGCAGCACATGGGGTTACCTTCGACGATCTCGAAGTACTTCGGAAACGCCAAATTCAGCCTCATCAAGGTGTTACACCGCGTTCAATTCGGGTCCAGTGCACGGTACGTCCCGAATCGTACCTCCACTTTGATTCTCCCCTGCACAGTACCAGATTGAAGCCAGGAAATCCTTTGCCTCGCACTGGTTCTGGGTTCTGGGCTAAGCAGCGTGCGCCCAGATCTTTATGATGGGTTTATTCGAGACCACGCCTCATGATGGTGGCTCAATCACCAAATGACACCCGCCTCAGGCGACGACCCAACATCACTGCCTGCAAAGCAATCCTTTACCAGTCTAAGGGTTGCTTGTTGATGGCCAGCTCGAGCCATGTTAGGGTCGGCCATCGTCCGTGCTGCCCCCTGGTTTGCCACGGGTGCAACTGATATCTCTACCACTCCTTCGTGCGCCACCTCGATACTAAGATCATCAAGACTATTATCGTCTATGTAATCAACCTTTGAGGTCAAATAGCACGTCGAGTTGTCCTCATGCCGAAACACATAACCAACCCCCCTGGGCAAGCCTACGACCATTTTTGGGCTCCCTATCAAAGACGCCATGCCCAGAAGACACCATAGCACTTATGTTGTTGAGCAAAACGATTTCGTTGCATACTTCCGCATCGATCAAGATATAAAGCAAACCTCATGAAAACCATTTTGCACAAGGTTCCGGGGCCAATTGACGTCAAGCACGTAGACAGTGTTGTTCAAGCTCTTTTACAACGCAGGATGACGACGATGCCGGAAATCGACAGAAAAGGACGCCTTTAAGTCAATAGCAAAGATGAAGTACGGAAGTCAAAGTCGGTGTAACAACTGACTGAAAAGCTGTTGGCTTGCTCTTAGTATAACCGGAGCGTGCTATCAGGTGTTGATGGGTGACTGACAAAGACAAGCAGAAAGTGAAGGAAGTTGGTGAGTCCTCGGGGACTGTGAACGCTGATGCCACAATCTAACGCTTGCTACGTCTTTTCAGACAATAGCAACTCGATGATGCGATAGAGAGGTAACGGAAGAGACGGAATGAACAGTTTCAGCCCTGCCCTCAAGATTTATATGGACCTATCTCGAGGCTGAGTGTGGAGGGCGAAAGAGGGTCGAGGGAATACTGCATGGGCAGGAATAAGGGCAAATCACTTCGAGTCATCCTCACATTAATCATCATTCTGTCGCCATGATCTCATTTCCCCATCTCACATCAAGCCGAGGCGTTGTGCATGGTGATCCAACTGATTGGGTAATGGCGTATTGACATTTATCTTGAGCCCTCCGCTTGTTCGTGCACTTGGCCAGTTCGCGGCGCGGGGACTTCCCCGTTCACAACCATTGAAAGCGAACCCTTCGTATGGCATACATGAGCCTCCCCTGTTTCGAATGTATGCTGCTCTGCGGGTGTCGCCAGCGTCGAAGACGTGACATCGTTGTTCGTCGGCATGCTGCCTGCCCGTGATGGATCTCGGCTGCGGACGAGGGGCTCTGAGTCTTGAAGCGCTTTGTTGGAGGCAGTCGAGCATCGGGCTATGTTTACGTGTGGCCGTTAGCTCAAGTCGGATCGTGGACACCTCGCTGTCGATTTACCTGGCCATGAACATGCAACTAAACAGCCGCATTGATGACAGGAACTTGAAAACAAAGGCGGGGACAACTCTCTTATTGGCTCGCACCCGCATGTCCAGAACACCCTCCGCCTGTTTGGGGTGCTCTTGATCTCTGCTGGGGCGTCCGTCGCCGGTGATATCAGTCGCGCTTCGTCCCTATACTGCGTTAGCATCGTGTCGCACGCCGCCGCGGGTGGAAACCTACGATAAGCGCCGTTGCGCCGCCCAGGCGTTCTTGGCCCCAGTGCCAGCCGTATACCAGAAGCCCCTCTTGCGCATGGCTCGCCAGATCTTGCAGGCTCTGTGAAAGTTTTGCATCATCTTGTCGCACGTCGATTGAAATCCATACAGCTCGCGGCCAAAAGTGATAGAAAGCTTGTGATCCATATAAGGATGGGACAGCCAGAGCAAGAGCACTTGCAGCCCTCCCCATACGAAGCGCAGTAATGTTGTGTACGCCCGGGTGGCGGTGAAGGCATCCTGCTTCGTGGTAACGTCGGGGTCTCCAGCTTCTCTTGTTCACGTCAGTCGACTGGAAAGCGGACAGCCATGGGGACCTACGTTGCGTCGTCTCTCGCTGCCTTGGCGTGCTGGGTGCTTTTGGCTTGCGGAGAGAAGATCAAGTAGAAGCCCATCGCGAGAAGTACTGCGACAAGAACGCTGATGAGCAGCGCGTATAGGAAGCAAATCTGCGTTCGGAGGTTCATCGCGCTCATGGCGATGATTGACGGCACTTTCAGCAGGAAGCCCTTGAGGAAGGCATTTGGCGCGTCGGATTTCCTGATGGTCCTCTGCATTGGGCTGATTGCTTCTTCGATATCGGTGACACTTGTGGGGGTTGCATCCTTTCTCAGGGCTTCAAAGGATGTGTAGTCCAAGATCAACTCCACGGAATAATCCCAAAGAGAGTCCAAGAAGTAGGGAGTGGCAATCGTGATCCTTTCAACCCAGGCCTCGTTGGTCGATGTGTAAAAGCGGAGGACGAGAGGGAGGAAATGGCCCAGGATGCAGATGACGAGAGTCAAGAGGAAAACAAGCAGTGCCAGCATCTGACTCGAATTCAGACGGCTACGCTTCTCCCGCCCTCCCAGCAGA